GAAACTAATTGAATTAAAATAATTAATTGAATAACCAGGAAATTAAAATAACTAGGAAATTAATTGAATTAAAATAAACAAATTAATTGAATTAAACAAATTAATTGAATTAATTGAATTAAAATAATTACTTGAATAACCAGGAAATTAAAATAACTAGGAAATTAAACACAACTCATAACATTTTTCACACTTATTATGTACATTAGTGCTATCCGCACTCTCCTTTTAACCTTTAATTTGTTTTATTAGACAGTTACGAGCAATAAAGCCTTTTGTACTTTGTTAGGTACCTAAATTGTCCCTCCTTCGAAGCTTTACACTTGTCATTTTTTCATCTCTAACGAGGGGCAATTTTGTAAGTTATGCAAAAATTACGTACTAAGAGCAAAATGCAGAATGTATTGGGTGAAAAAGAGAGGGAAACCTGGAGGAAAAAAAGTACAGCAATTTCCACAAGCCTCTGCAATGACATTTGGATCATCAGAACAGACCAAGGACCCATCTCTGGCCATTCTCCATTGAAGTGGAATGCAACCATCACGATCCTTCAATAATTAGCAAAATGGTCAAGATAAAGCCTAGTAATTTTTTCCCCCCAAGTCTAGCATTGTTGATGAATCACTTAACATTGGGAAAAATGCAGTATCCACAATTTATAAAGCATTTAGCATAGAATGAGAGCTTCGGAATAAATATTAGAATTTAAAAAACAAAAATATTATTAACACAAATAAATCACAGAATATGGGAGCATCAACACTCACATGCCTATGGGCCACACACAATAAGAGACCTATTGACATATGAGTATTTGTATTCCATTCTGTGATTTGTTTTTGTGCTGTTGATAATGTCGTTATTGTAAAAATTAAGAATGAGGCTTTCCACCTATCTGGATAGGAGGAAACCTCCTCATGTACCCCAGTATATGGCGAGCGATTGATTAAGAATGAGGCTTTCCTCCTATCTCGATAGGAGCAAACCTCCTCATATGCCCCAGTATGTGGCCAACGGTACATCGGTCATCTTAGACAATGCAACTTTAGGAGTTACAAGAAAGACTCGGCCCTTTTAAAAATATCAAAAACTTCAACCAAATACAATGAAACATTTCTTGAAGACATTTCATGAAGTATGCAACTTTAAGCAAACTCACTGTAAATCATATCAAGAATACTACCATTGAGTGCAACCAAGAATACTACCATTGAGTGCAACTTTGAGTTGTGTTCAAACTCACCCTGGCTAAAAAAAGTGTGTGGGCTCAAGCATCAAATAGAACAAAGGCAAATTTTCCTTGGAGGTCTCTAACAACTTGATCAGGAGGATAGGGTGCACGATCTCTTAAGACTTTGTAAGCTTCGACCACTACCATGGCTTCTGTTGCTTGTCTTGAGAGACCTTAGTGACTACGCAAGTCACAAGTGTTCTCTAACATTCCAAGGAAAATGCAATGCACATCGTCCATGACAACAATAGACCTAATACAAAAAATAGAAAACTTAATTTATGCAATGCTACAAACACACAGAAAAGTGCATAGAATGCAGTGTTTCATGTGCATTTTTATGTATTTTTTTCATTTACTAATAACAAAAGCAAGAACATTACTTTCCAAATTGCAATAGTAAAAATAGTGAATTTATTTATTTTTGTGTTTGTGTGTGTGTGAAGAGACATCATTTTGATCATATGCATCAATTTTGATTATCACTCATTTTGTTTTCTGATCACATTATGGACAACTAGGATTTACATTAGTATAGATCAATTTAGTTTCGAAATTCAAAAAGGACATTTATACATCTACACATTAAATTACTCGTAGAGAATGGGCCTATAGAGTATTGGGATTCTCTATCCCCAAAAAAATGTTTGTCCTTCTGTCACACGAATCTGTTTTTGTTTTTATTTAAAAATTAATTAAAAATCGCATACTTATGATCCTGTAAATGTATAGGACAATGGTCGGAAAACACCTTTTTTTAAGGACAAATTATCTTGTGCTGAAATAATAAGCAACATGTTCCAGTTCTCGACATAACTTGCATAGAAAAAAGTGTATATCACCCTTAATTTTTTTACCATTTTATATCATCTTATATTATCGGAATACATGACCATATTTATATGTTCTTTCTTTTCTTACTAATTGATTGTAAACAAAGAAATAATCATGAATAACCACATAAGCAGTGATACAGACCGATTAGATAGAAAATTAACCATGCATGACAGTTCAAATCATAGTTGGAGATCCAATCTAGTACCATGGATGCAAAGGACACTCATCCTCATGTGACAAAACCATGGAATTCCCATTTGGGAGGTTGAACAGCGTTGAATGAGGCCACCATGAACGGAAAATCTCTACAATCTTCTCCCCGGTTTTCGAATCCAGCATACCCTTCAAAGGAAGACTCAGCTCCTCTGGCAGTTTTCTAGTGGATTTCTCAAAAACTTCTAACATTTTGCAACAAACACTTCAACAGTTTTAGTACTGCCAACAATAAAACTGGTTTCTCGACATATATATTTCTCTGCAACAAATATAAACTAGGGTTGAAGACAAACAGCCCATGCTTATCTTTTGTATATAGTTAGAACAGAACAGAAAGCAAATGGAAGATGCCAAAGGGTTACGTGGCACCAAAGATGGTGATTATGCATGCATGAGGTGGTGCTAAGTGTAATATATGTTATTTTGTCATGGGGTTGTGTAAATACAGCCAAGAAAATTTTGTACTGTATCTGGAACAAATTACCAGTCATTTTGAGCTTTCCAAGAAATTGTCAATTGGGATTGATTTCAGGAAAGTGGTGGAACCTTGTCATGATAGGACTAAACTCTTCCTTGAATTTTTATTTTTTATTTTTTTTTAGCAGCAATTCTTCCTTGAATTGAACCCCCCACATATACATATCTTTTTTTTAACTTGGGTATGTAGGTCATGCATGAAAAATAAATAAATTGATTCAAAAATTATACTTATATAATTTTATTATATTTATCTCTAGAAAAAAAAAATTAATTTCAAAATTCAACTTGTCATCTGATTCTTTTTAAAACAAAAATAATAAAATTATATGACTATGATTATTATGGTTTTTTTGAATAACATACACAGACTGGACCTGACCTAAAATTAAATGGATTGGATAATTGTACTGGGACCTACAATGACCTCTATGAATTCAGACAGTAAGATCCCTAGATTGGAATCAACCTGCTCTTTTTTTTATTTATTATCATTCTAACCTGAAATTTTAATTTTAACCTCACCTCTAACCTCCCTAATCCCTTCCCAGCCCCCTTGCCCCCCAACCCATTGGCACCATGCCCAGCCCGTCCCCACCTATCGATGCCACCCTCTAGCCCCTCTTCTCTCTCTCTCTCTCTCTCTCTCTCTCTCTCGTCACAATAGTTGGTGGTGTGACAAGGGAAAGGGAGAGGTTGGAAGGTGGTGGGAGAGGATTGGGGAGGGGGAGGTTGGGTGGTGGTGGGAGAGGGTTGGGGAGGGGTAGAGCTAGGGAAGGATGGGGAGTGGCGACCAAAACTAGGGAGGGGTAAGGTGCGATGTCCGAAGCTAGGTGTGGTGCCAAAGCTGGGTAGTGACTGGGGTGGGGGATATGGTTAGGGTTTGAGAGGGTTAAGGTCAATTTTGGTATTAAGTGGAATGTCTAAACAAATTTTATAAAATTTTAAATTTGTCGGTAGGAATTTATAGAAGGGGTCCAAACTATTATGTGGGTGATATTAAGAGCACCCTTATATTATCTGTCAATTTATGATAATCTTGTAGGCTTTATGGAGGCCAACCTTGAGAATATATCAATTAGTACCGCCAGCTACAGATGATAAACAAACAACAGGATTACAATATTTCAGGATCAATCAAACTGCAAGAGCATATTATTTACGTCACAGCTTTTGATAAGTTAAAATTGTAGTCGAAGTTATATAAGCAGTTTCACGCTATTGATGAAATTCCCAAATTGCAAGTTCAGGGCAAGGATGATGATGATTTACGTTTTGTGGTTAAGCTACATTCCACATCCTTATCTTTCAAGGCCATTAGAATACTCAATTCATTTTAATGGAGCGTATACTCTTCATCCAAGAGCAACCTATGTCATTTGGTATCAGAGTCGATCATTTTGGTATCATAGTTGGTCACGGCACCTCAAAAGGAACCAAGAGGGAGAATGTGGAAGCCCGTACTAAAGTAAAGAGACACATTGTACAAAAAGCACATATTATGGCTAAAGATTCCCTAAATAGGGCAGGGCAGGCTGATTTTGTATGTTTTCTATGGTTTCTTTAAATATTTCTTTATTATAAGAAAAATAATAAAAAGTGGAGTCATAGTAAAGTTTTAAAAGCTTAAATGTCCATACTTCAATGGTCATGATTGTTTTGCTTTCCTTTTCTCATTACATTAAGCATGTAAGTAAACATCATTCAACCCAACTTCATTGATTATGGAGGATAGACGTAAGTGACAATGAACTCAGAATTGAGATGACAAATTAATCTTAGTAAGTTGTGATCTTTTTTAGAATGATTGAAAATCCTGTAGTGAAATTTTCTAGGTTTCATTTTTTTTTATTTTTTGGCTCGGTTTTTGTAGGTTGCAATATGTACATTTCCTGCACATGCATCCAAATATACAACCTATCAACAGTAGGTCCATAGCCAGAATCACCTGATGGCTTGAAATGCCCAGTCAGATTAACAGATCAAAGTGATTGGTATTCTCTTACATTGCCCTCCAGACCCCCCTGCAATTGGTGAACCATCTTAACTGAAACCTAATTCATCCAAAAAAAAAAAAAGGTATGCAAAATGATCACAAAACAGGCATGTGAAAAGTCAAGACACTAATAAAAAGAATAAATATGTAAGCCAAATTCATAAGACAATTGAGAACTACCTACAAGTTCATCTCATTATCTTGCAAGGATGGGGACACCATAGGCAGCAAGAGCGTGCTTCCCTTCTTTGTAGACGAGGTTGCCTCTCACGAAAGTCGCCAAAACTTTTCCAGATAGTCTTGATCCCATGTCAGCTGAGATACTCTATGCAAAGACAAGTAGGAACATTTTCAAAAGGAAAGCGAGAAAAGGGAGAGAATCCCCTTTATTGCCTATAGTAAAAATATAAAAACAAAAAAGCAATATTTCTTCATGTTGAAGTTTCGAGCCATTTATGCAGGTAAATGTTTGATATTTTCTAAAGCCAAAATCACACCTAAGGTTGGAAAGAAGACGAGTTAGCCCATTAAGTAACTGAATAAGGTCCCCCAATCATCACATATTAACTCTTTTGGTCTCTAAGAGATTATTTCCGTTTAATTGCTTCCCCTTTTCTTTTTTCAGAAAACAAAGAAGTGGTGAAGTCGTGGATAAATTTGGAAATGTATCGGTAAACATCAAAGATGTGGCAGCAAATAACACTGTAATTTATTTCATATGAAAAACAGATAAATCATTGTAATATGCAGTCTAAATAACACCAAACGCACCTTAATATGGCCAGCATTTGTCATGGGAAAGTCATTGATCCCCGAAGGACACATAAAGGACTACAGCAAAGAGCAAAAATCTCAAATTTAATACATAATTCTCCAACAACTTCAGGCAACAGTAATCAAAAAGCTAGGATGGCGTATAATAATGGAAAAAAGGTATGTACGCAATTGTGATGCATGGGAGAGAAAGGGAGGAAAAACACATACACACATTATCAAAGAGAATTGGTCCTTTAGTCCTTAGTCCTTCCTTTTGCAATGTGGTTCAGGGCCTTTAGTCCTTCCTTTTGCTATTCTGTTGATGATCTGGTGTATAATCTGCAAAATGTGAAATTCTGCCTAATGCACTGAGGTTATAACCTGTGTACTGCTGTTTCTGAGTGTTTCTGTGTTGGTGCAACTGATGCAGAGGATGACCTGTTTAATAGGGCCGTAGTAGTGAACTGCAGATGTGTTGGGCTAACAATCTTGGTGGGTGAACTGCTGTTGCTGCTGTATTTAATTAGTTTGTAGGAATGCTGGCTATCTGTTCTGTCTTGGTGCCTAACTAACTGCAGGACCTGATCTGTTTGGTGCTTCAACTGTGGGCTATCTGTTCTGTTTGCCTGCTCTGGTTTTGGTGTTATTGGTGCTTCAAATGTTCAAATGTGTTCTTCCTTTGTTTTGTTTGGCTCGTTGGTTTCTCACCAACTTGGAGGTTGGAGCTTGTTTTAAGCTCCAAGCTCCCCTTTATTGATGTAATCTTTGTTTTTCCATCAATAAAGTATTCTTTTTGCCGATCAAAAAAAAAAAGAGAATTGGAAATCAATCCAATAAAATAAAATTAAAATTAAAATGTTTTCTGATATACCAGGTGTTGAGCAACAATGTTTGAGAGTAACAGCAAGTAGTAACAGCAAGTTTTTGTACAATAAGAATATGAACTCAAAAACAATTTGGGAGCTCGCTTTTAGAGTGTTTAGTTGTCTCTGAAAGATTCAACCAAGACTAACTTTTGGTGCTACAATAATACAAAAGAATATAAACTCAGAATATAAACTCAGAATATAAACTAAGAACATAAACTTCTGTTCATACTTATCAAATTTAAAAATAAAAACTCTGAGCAGACTTCTAAGTTTCTAACTACCTAATTAAAAAGTGAAGCTAAGTTCCTGGGAATTTCACTTTTTGAGTGTTCAGTATTTTACGGAAGATCAAACCAAGTCTGATTTTTTAATTGTTCCAAATTTCCTTGTCAAAAATTCTCTTTAAGTGAGTTGAGATAGGATTATGATGATTATTGCAAGCTTACTATAATGATTTTAAAGAAGAAAATTGAAGAGTTAAACAGAAAGATATAAACAGGCTTTAACTTCAAGCAGAGCCTCCATGGTAAAAAAATGAAAAATTAATGGTGTTAACCATCCATACCTTGAGTTCAAAAGTTTCTTCGGAAGTTGTAGATGGAAAACTATTAAGAGGCATGTCAACCAAAGTTGTTAACCCACCTATTTAAACAAAGTTAATTAAGTTCGTAGTTACATGTGCAAATAAAAGTTTGATTTACAAAGCCAACAACCAGATATAATTAGATATAACAAAGAATGAATTCTTATTTCTATATATAAGATAACCCAATAGGGTTAGGTATTTATGTAAATGAGACATGTACTCAAAAAGTTTTAAAGCATTAGCTTCTGAGAAATCTATGAACTCTTCTCCTAAATATGATCGAAGCAAGACTAGATATAAAGAACTGAGATCTACAAACCAGCAGCAGCTGCTCTAGTCCCTGAAGGAAATCCTTCCCATTCTGTTCTTCCAAGATCATCAAGATATGCATGCCTACCATAAAGGTAACTTGTGAATCTCATATCAAAGAGAATTTAAAACCCTCAAAACTACTTGATCAATGAACCTAACTATATAAGTTTTTCAACAAATACATGAATCAGATGAATGGAAAATCCAATATCATTTTTTAATCATCCATGACATGGGTAAGCCCATAAAGATTATAGCCCACCATTTAGGTCCCAATACATAACTCAAATACTAAAGCCCAGCATAGCTGAAGCCCCACGTAGCAACGAGAACCAATAACATCAAGACACATGGCAAGAGAAGGGCAAGCCACATAAGCAGATAAAGATCTGCAAAGTTATTGCCACTGCACATCGCCATTAATGAAGCTTCTTACAGCATTTGTTGAGATAACCCCTCTCCGTCGAGACAGAACGGCTTCACCATGAACAAGGTAAGCTAGAGTATAGACTTTCGGCCAAGGTGATAGGTTGGAAGAGACAACGAAATGATTACCAGAGAATATAAGTAGACGTCGAAGACGGGAAGAAGGTTAAGCTTTCTATCTAATCCAGCTCTACATTCTACTTCTCTCTCTAACTTTCTCGTCGGAGGGTTCGCTGGGGGACTCCCCGTTCCCCGTTGAACTCTTGTGCAGGTCTTCTGGTGAGCTTGGTCATTTGGACACAGGCTTGAGGAGCGTGGATCAGTCCAACTCGTTCCACCTAGTTCAAACGGAATCATCAATCCAGGTGGGAATTCAAATAGCGAAACCATGCCCCACTAGTTGCACGTGCTGTGTACAATCTGGTTCACCAGAGAACAATGATGTAATCAAGGAAAATTGCAACATTCCAGGAAAAATTGTGAATGAGACTAAAGCAGATTCAAGATAAAGCAGAGAAGAGTCAAAACAGATTTTTTATCAATATTCAAATTGATCTCACTTAATCATGTACAGTATTTATAAACTAATATACTCTACCTAACTATAGTTACATTTAACTATAGTTCTAACAACTTTACAACTGCTAGAGTTAATACTAACTAGTGCTAACTAATCTAACAGACTTCAGATGAGGTGGAGTTGTTTTGATCATGCTGGTGCACCTGCTTCGGCAGTGTTGAGAGTGAAGACTGCAACTGTGAAGGTGAAGGCTGAGTTTGCTTAACATGCCCCGTCAAGCTGATAGGAGAAGAATGAGCCAGAAGCTTGTGTTGAAGAAAGTTAAACCGAGAAACTGAAAGGGGTTTTGTGAGGATATCAGCAATCTGGTCAGCAGTAGCAAGATGTTTGATAAGCAACTGTTTGGAAGCAACACGCTCACGAACAAAATGATAGTCCACTTCAATATGTTTAGACCGAGCATGAAAAACCGGATTACTAGACAGGGCAATGGCAGAGAGATTGTCACACCATAGAGTAGGGGGGACAAAAGGAATGTGCAGATCCCGAAGAAGCATGCCAAGCCAGCTAAGCTCGGCTGAAGTCTGAGCAAGAGCGCGATATTCAGCTTCAGTGGAGGAGCGAGAAACAGTAGGTTGTTTCTGCGCAGACCAAGAAACCAAGTTGGGACCCAGAAAAATACAAAAGCCAGTAGTGGACCTGCGGTCAAGGGCATTCCCAGCCCAGTCGGAATCCGAATAGGCAGTGAGAACAAGAGGGCCAGGCTGAAACTGAAGGCCCTTATGAAGAGTTCCTTTCAAATAACGCAATAAGCGTTTGACAGCATTAAAATGACTAACCAAAGGAGCATGCATATGTTGACAGGCAGAGTTGACAGCGAAAGCAATGTCGGGGCGAGTAATGGTCAGATATTGAAGAGCCCCAACAATACTGCGATACAAAGCAGGCTGAGCAAAAGGAAGATCAGAGTCGGGGAAGCTGGAGGATTTAGTAGCCATGGGAGAGGCATAGGGCTTGCAGTGGGACATCCCAGCTTTGGCTAAGATCTCAGTGGCATACTTAGATTGATGCAAAAAGAAACCAGCAGCAGACATGTGAACAGAAATGCCAAAAGAAACAAATATATTAAAATATAAATCAAATGCTAGAGTTTTTACTAAAGAGGATTGTTCCCACTGTTAAAATCTTTTCTCTAAACTCCTTTGCAGGTCATAGGGAATAATATCCTGCTTTAGCAATCATTTAATATGCAACCAATAGATAATTCGCTTGCTAACAAACTTAAATTTTGACGGTTTTTCAACTAATAATTCAATAATAAAGAATTAGGAAGTCTGTAACCATGAAGTTGTCATTTTTTTCATTAGGGAATATCAAAGACTTCTTGCATCTCAAAATTATTTTCCTATCATGTTTTGCCATCTTAATACCTTTGGAAGTAATGAAATCTTAATCCTAATCAAAATTCCTACTATCTATTAATACATTGACTTGACATTAAAATATTCCTGTCCTACATGCATATATCATGCTATATTTTCCATGCCCTCACTTTTAAATTTAAAATATCAGCTTTTTATGGCTCTCTTATTATTTATGTCGAGAGTATTTTTGGTCCCTGGCGCATTTTCGACATCTAGTGTATGGCAAAAGAAGAAAGAAGGAAAAGTAAACAACACAAAGACAAATTATTCTTTCATTTTATATAAGTCAAAGAAATAAAGTAAATTCATAAGAAGATGGTTGCCTCATCTTACACATCGATCAGACCTGGCATGACAACAGCCTCCCCATAATCTATCACTTGTCCAGTCCCGACATTCTCATGCCAATCCTCTTCCATTACAGATACAATGTTTCCTCCTTTGACCTCAACTGATCATTTACAGCTTTGATTAAAAAGTAAGAAGTACAGACGATCATTTACAGATGATCATTTACAGCTTTGACCTCAAGAATTACAGCTTTGATCATTTACAGCCTCCCCATAACATAAAATTAATCAACAGCACTACAGAAGATTGTTGCTTGAAGAAATTGTTTAGTATTGTACTAAATATAATGGGTATACTATAATGATGAAATGGAATCTAAAGTTTGGCAAATGCATAATTATGTAGTAAATAGTAATTATAGACTTTTTAAGTATTGGTAATGATTCATATATCTATCTACTATGATGTTTCGTGGTATTGTGAAAATTTATGAAAAATGACCTTTCTTAATACAAAAATCACTTATTAGACGGACTTGCACCAGAAATCACCCCTTTTGGTGTCACAATACGCTTGCTGGATATCCAGAAATTGTTGTGATCAAGAAGGCTGCACTCGCTGTGATATGGCTGTCACAAAAATATTTGAATTTTATTAGCATAATGTTTACATTTGATCAAATTATTCAAATTGTAACACCATAAAAGTGATAAAACACAGCTAAATCTCCATATAATTAACCACAATGAGAACATATATATGAATAAACCAACACACGCCTGCATGCATCAATGAATTAAAATATAATTAGAATTGAAATCACCCGATAATCATCCTAAAATTTTGGTTAGTATTTTTTTATCAGATTTTTTGTTTCTTTTTCTTGTCTATTTGCACCTTCCTATTGAAATATGACTTGGTAAGCTCAATCAGTCAATAGTCACCATGATGAAATGAAACTATGCCAACAACCATTAAAAAGAATAAAGATCCATCATCTACCGAAATCCCTTTAATTGATTAAAGAAAAAAACAATAAAAAATTGATGACTAGATTCCAACAACCTTATTTAAATTACTCTGTTTCATAAAAATATATTGTTAAAATTCATTGGCTCTCTTCATTTTTTGACACACTCTATCCAATAAGTTAAACCCATCACGCAATAAAATAAAGAGAAAATATACAAATACTATTTGATTTCAATAAATTTTTGGGGTCCTACATGGATTCCCTGGTAATGGTGATTACCAGAAAAGAATGTCAAGATGGTTATGGTCCAATATCATTTTTTAATCATGATTACAACTTTACAAGTGTGGAGTTGAGCCTTGCTTATTTTAATTTATCTACAAATGTCATGTGAAAAGACACTAAGGGGTTGGCCTCGTAAAGCGTTAAGTGATGCAGTTTTCCATTTCCTATACTCCTCCTAGTGATTTTTCTGTTGATTTCTTGTAAAATACTATTTATTTTGGTTCTGAAATTTTTTGCATCAATACTGACCGAAATATTATATTTAAATATTTTTTATATTTTAATTTTTTGCACATTAGAAGATAAGTAACCAATCCTATATGTTTTGGAATAAAAGTTAGGGAGAGAGGCATTTATAGAGCATCCTCACACTCTCTTTTCATTTATTCTTGAGATGGGATTCCATATGTTTCTACAAAACCCTTAAATTCTCTGAATCTCACATTTATGTTAAACCGAAAACTATAACATGTGGTCGGTTTCGGTTCCTCAACCGACAAAACCAAAAGGGTTCGGTTCAATGTTAAATTTTGCCTTAAACCCCTACCGAACAGAACAGAACCGAAAGCTCTATTTGGTTCATTGGAATGAGATAGAATGAAATGGCACGATGATTCCTTAGGCTTTCTCATGGAATGATTAACCTAGTGAAATTAATGTATTTGCCATTATATTTTTAGTGTAATCAAACCTGAGAATAATTATTTTGATGAATAATCATTTCATTCCGACTTAGACCCTAACTTTAATAAAACAAACATTATGAAATAAAACACATTTCCTTTATCAGATCATCAGATGAATATACAAGCATAATATATCTTATGCCACAGACAGACAGAGACATCCAAAATCATGTATACATATGTATGTATACGAGTGAATTTATCTCTGAAATGGGACATACAAAAACGGGTATCTAAAAATCAAGTTTATGTATTCATAGGGTAAAAAGAGGGAACAAAAATCAAACCTTTTGAGGGCTTTTCATGTAGAAGAGTATAACAGATGCAAGGAGTGGTAGCAGAGCTAACAACCTCCATTTCAGACCCTCTATCTCTCTCCCTCTCTGCCATCACTATCACACTCTCTCTCTCTCTCTCTCTCTCTCTCTCTCTCTCTCTCTCTCTCTCTCTAAAACTTCACTAGTGCTATAAAAGCTAAAAGCTAAGGAATGAAGGGTCAACTCCTTCTTATGAGAATCAAACAAGCAATGGGCGGCCCAGATATTCTCCTCACACTCACACCGGTTCATGAATTTTGTTAAAATGGTTACCGTACCTCCTTCGTCGCCCGCAGGGCAGCTCTATCCGTCGAGCATGATTCCCTCCTTGAATCTCTTAATTAACTTCGAGTTGATTTTTTGGTACAATTTTAATGATTTGAATTATTTGTATTTTTAAAATTTGTCATGTATATTATACTTATTGTGTGGGTGATTTTCTGACCACACTGTCTGCTTAGTAATCAGTTGGAGAACACTAGCAGAATAGATGACACCTGGCTAACCTGTAACAGAAAGAGAAGATTCTGGCGGTGGTTCGTCCACCCGGGGGCACTCCGACGATCAAGTCAGTATATCTCTCAAAGATAATCAATAATGCTAAACTCAATGCTCAAAGCATAAAATTGCGTACCTTAGACCCATGGGGGTCCTCTCTTTTATAGTTATCTCAATCATAATCCCAATAGAAGCCTAAATTCTACGGATTCTTGTTCAGTACTTACTTTGGACTCCTTAAGAGATAAAGATAAATTCTCTAAGAGTTTTATCCTTATCTTGGCTAAGTCTCTTCTTTATTCTAGGACTATTGTCCCTTATCCGCTTATCTCGGATTCCGATATCTTCGAAGATAACCTCAGCTTAACCGAGATGACCTCGGCATAACGACCAGGACACATGGCACCTCGACTGACACGTCGGCGTCACTTTGCCACGTGTTGGTACTCAGAAATATATCCCCACAACTGCCCCCTAAGTTCTATTACCTTGGCATTCTGAAGTGATGTAACCTATATCATTCCTTTCTTTCAGTACATTAGTTCACAGTATTTTCAGCCGAGATCATTGTGTTGGCCGACATGTCTTCGTTAAAGAACAAGAATTTCTAATAAGCGCCTTCATGCGTATGAGCTATCAAACATTACTTTTCAACCATTTATTCACGCGTTTCATTTTTATTGGATCGTGCTTATGACGCGCCAGAAAACCATCTTGTTTGCGTGCGCCGTCTGGCGCACTCGTTGCTCTAGGTGCATTTAATTTCCTTTTGCCGCCGTTTCAATTTTTTTTTTTTTTTTTGACAAAAACTTGTTTGCCCTTTTTCATCTTCTTCACTTTTACATCAATTCCTTTGCTTTTTCTCTCTCTAGCCTTTGAATACACCATTGTTCCAAACTTCAAGCTCTGCAACTGCCTTCATTCTTCCTTCTAGTGAAGCTTTCTACCGTTCTACTACTTCTGTAACCATTGACTGACTTCAGCGATTTTTACACCGGCCTCTTTTCTTCAATGAGTTTACTGTTCCTTCCGTTTTCAATTTCTTGATGCTTTCCATTACTTGCCACCACTACTGCATTTGTTTTAAACTTTTTAATTTGTGAATCATACACCTGAATGTGTTTTTCCCACTATTTTGCCCTTGCCCATGTCTTGAAAACACGCACTGTTTCACCACTTCCCTGTATTGTTGCCACTGTTCTTGGCCCTATACTTCTGTATTCTTTATGCTCTTGATAGATCATCTCTGTTCTTGATTCTGAAACTCGTTCTTGTTTCTGTTTTTTGTGTCTTTCCAAATTCGTATCTTCAACTTTGTTTCCATAGACTTAGGTTTGGGATTTGTTTGTAAAACCCACAATTTAGGACAAACTGAAACATCCCTTACAAATTTCTGCACCAACTCAAACCTAGGTTTTTGCCGAGGTCCGAATAACCTTTTTGGAAAACATCTTCCTTCTGAAATCCAATACCTTTAGTTATCCTGATATTATGGGTATGTGGAAACATCAGGTAAACACCCCCTCTAAGATAGACTTTTTTAGGCAAGAGTTTGAAATCCCAGCCGATGTCAATCTGAGGTTGGCTGGGGATGATGACTCCATCATGCCTACGGATAACTTCATGCCCTTTCTTGTGGTTGC